TCAGGGTTGAAGAAGGTAGAGGCTGTGTGATGTAGTTGGGGAATGAGAAATGAGCAGGGAGGGAGACACTGAAGGTTGGTTTTAAGGTATATGATGAATAAAGAGTCCTTAAAGTTGGAGACACTCCATTCTATGTCCCCAAGGGATGGGAAAAAGCACATTACCCTCTGAGGTGAAGTTAAATCAAGGCACATTGAAATGGCTCTAGGCACTTATTTGAGCAGTTATTTTGAAGCACATTTTTAAATGAACTTTGTCACAAACTGGACCACACAGGCACAACAGAAAAGGAGAGGCACACAAATGCCAATTAACAAACTGCTCCTTTGAAATTAAAGAAAAAATGAACGAACTTCAACCAACCATGGTGAGTGATGTCAATACTGGCAATGATGTGAGTAGACATTCTACATATATAGAATTACCTGTCAAATCTTTTTCGAAAAATGCTTTTAAAAAATTAGCAGACTTCATCCTCTTCCCCTATTTGGTTTTATCCAAGTCTTACTTATCTTACTATCTAAAATTCTAAAAAGTGCTACTACTTTTCAATTCTTCTGCAGATTTCAATTAAGAATTCTATGAGTGCAACATCTCTCTCCTGCAATACCCCTGGCCAAGATCACTAACACTACAGTGTAGAAAGAGGACATCAGCATCATCAGGTGCAGTGGAAAACAGGACTGTCGTCAGTATGTGTCACAAATGACTCACTGGAGAGGCAGCTGAATGACACCGAGGACAGTTACACCACAGAACTGGCCACCCTGCAAGTACAAAAACACGAGACAGGGAAACAGAGTTGTGTCCAAAGTCTTTAAATAAAATACTTATGTAACCTTGAAACACCCTAAAGAAACTCAAGTAGTTTCTTGGTACCAGAAACAGAAAGGAAACAATGAACCAGAGTTTACACTCTGAAAAATATAGCTAAAAGAAGACATAAAATGCTAGGTGACTACAGATGAAAAACTAGCCGTACGCTAAACCTGATACAGGGTCACGAATGGTAATATTCATGTCCAATATAGATATATCATAATACAAATAGAATCAGAAAATAATGCTTTGCATAGTCACTTTGATAAGTTTAAAGAATACAATCAAAATGTTGGACTGGAAGAAGTGAGAAGGCAAAAGATAATGTTTTTAAGCACATTCCTTACATTCAAATTCATCTTAGATGTAGCTTTCTTACCAAACATACATTTGTTTTCTCCTGATTGAGTCCGTTAAAGATAAAATTATATTTATCCACCCTGGTCTTGTAGGCAGTTCTTAAAACCTACAAATGACTGCAGGACCCAGGTGAAGTTATAGGGCATGTTTGACCTGTTCTATTTTATTGTTCTAGTGGGACAATACATGCCTTCAAAAACACTAGCAACTAACTCTGTAATTTTTTCCTTTCTTTATTTTTCTTGCCTTCTTAACCCCTTTTTGAAGTTTTACATTAGTCAGATTCTTTCCATTGTCAAATTCTTTCGGCAGGAGTTCTGCATCTGTTAGCAAACATTAAGTACTGTAAGCTAGAAACTGAGCTAGCTAGCATGAAACTAAGCTAGCTTACTAAATAACTACTAGCTAAATAGCTTTTTTTGGTTTCTTGTTTTTTTTTTTTTTTACCACAGTTCTTGGCAGTGACTAAATCTGAAATCCAGGAATTAATTTTTACTCACTCTAACCATAGATGATCTAAAACATGGACGAAACTTTGAAGCTTTAGTTCAAAATATGAAGGCAAAGAGGAAGTGCTTTAAATTCGCATTTTATCTGAAGGTCAGCAGGTGGCTGTGGCTGCAAAAAAAGCTTCTGGTCCTTTTTATCTTGACTACTATAAACACTTTCCGGGCAAATTTATTGGCTCATTCATTCATTTTGGGTCAAACCGAATTAAAAACAAATAAAAACAAAAACAAATCATGGTCTACTAATTTGTAAAGCATAAACTGGAAGCCAATGAGAATGCAGACTTACAGTTACACCTGCCTGTCCTTGCCACATCCAATTATTTTTACAACAGTGGAAACAATAGCAGACATGCTTCTCTCCAGACTTCAAAATGGACTTCGGAAACTTCACATCAGAGTAACTAACATCTTTTTTACACTAAGGCTAAAATGACGCCATGTTTTGTCTTTCTGTAAATTAGAATTTGCCTGCTAATGCGATACTTAAATACTAGGAAGCCAAGTTGTGTTCACATGCTGCAGAATTCCTCTGCCACCCAGTGGCCAAACCACAAACACCTTTTTAGCAGTACAAACCCAGCCATGTCATAAAAGCGATGGCACAGCATTTGTTTAAGAATGTCTTTTAATGTTTTCCAGTTCAGATACACAACATACAGTGTGTAATAGCCTCTATTTGAAATAGAAATATTAACTTTAATTCTTTCAACCCCTTCTGGTCATTATGCTCTCTCACAGTCTCTTGAGCCTCAAGCAGGTTTTACTGAATCAAATGAAACAGACAAACAGGTGCAAGCCTTCACTTTACCCTTCTGGCATTAAATCTTATATGAGAAGAAGAAGAAGATATTTGGATCGGTGTAATACTTTCTCCCCTTACCTTAAGCCAACATCAAAACTGTAGTGTAAACATGTAAACTTGGTGAGTGTGCTTCCGTTATCTGTTGGCTCGTCCAAATCCCTTGTTTCCAAAAAAGAAGGAAAAAAGAAAGAAGGAAAGAAAAACACACATTTTCTTATGCTGTGGCTAACTTAAACTCACTAACAAACAGCTGGATCAATAATCTCCAAAATTCAATGTGCAGACAAGATTGCAAAAAGGTAGCAAAACAACCACCGTGGTTACTAGAGTTTGAAATTAGACTAAAAGAATACAAAGGATTTCACAACTTCCCAATTACAGGTTATACTGTATGACAATGCCCGAGACAATGTGAGACACTAACAAGTAAATTCAACAGCATCACAAAGAAAAAAAAAAAAAAAAATCTTTTTTTTTTTCTATTTTTGAGCATATTTAAAGAACTAACATGTTGTTTTTTCCAAGCCTCATTTCACAAATCTTCTCAATTTCCTCCTTTTTCGTGTGTTCTCCGCAGCTGTTCTTTGGCTTTTCTTTTCTTTTTCTTTTTTTAAACCAATGAAGGGATTCATTTCACTCAAAAGCTGCCTTCATGATTGATGGAATAGTGTCAGGCCTGTACGTCACATTTTAGGCAAGACTATTTTTATCACAATCTATGCGAACCTGAGCCGTAGACATTCCTTTTTCATGTTCATGCTGCCCTCAACCACGCTGTGCCCATACAACCTACTGGAACCTGACCTTGAGTTCAAGGAAACAAAGGAGAATCGAACATATTTGAAAACCATGTAAGTCACCAAAACTTGCACCTGTTGTCACAAAGAAAAGATCCGGCCAGTCAGTCAAACCAAACGACAAACATAATATTTACAAATTCCAGTTTTGTTCGCTTACACTTAAAAAAATGTACAGTTTGTTTTTATGTGTTGTTGGGTTCTTTTTTTCCTTTTTTTGTTTTTTTTTGGGTGGGTTCTTTTTTTGTTGTTGTTGTTGTTCTTTTGTCCTCGCAGCTTGCTCCAGTCCAGCGTGAGGGATGGCAGTCTGGCTCCAGAGTGTGGTTATCCTAAGCAGACGGGACATCACAAGGAAGGAGGGGGACAAGAGAGGAAGAGGACGGGGGATCCTGCTCACCTTGCGTTCACGGTTTATGTTGTGTGAGTAATGTCTGTTAAACTGGGTTTTCAGAATGTATCCTCTGCGCACTGACGGATCGTACTGTCGCTATTTTCGTCATCGGCACTGTGTTTGTCCAGCATTTGTCCTAATGTCACTGTTTCTGTTTAGTTTGCTTTGTTTTTTTTGTTTTGTTTTTTTCCCCCTCCTCCTCATTGTCCAGAGTGTGACCCGTGTCCGTGTTGGATTGTGCGAAAGATGTGAAACGCGCATACAAGGCTCTCTCACCTTTTTTTTTTTGACCATAAATACATCTTATCCTTTCTCCTGCCTTTTGCAAAAGCCAGACACATGGGACAACAAAAGAGCAGACGGAAAAAAGATAACTGTCGGGCAGTCCTCAAAGACTTTGAAGCAGGAGGGAGGTTAATGTCCAGTCACAGACAAAGACCTTATTTATACTCTTTGTGTAAAGTAGTCATTTCTTTTTTCCCTAACTTTAAAAAAAAGTGCTATCTTCAGGTTGATTCAGAGACAGTGACTGTGCAAGCTCGACATTGCAAAAGATAAAGAGAAACAGCAAAAAAAAAAAAAAAAAAAAAAGGGGAAAAAAAGGGGGTGGGGGTTAAAAAGGCTTTCATCAGTCTTTCCTGTAGTTTTTGCAGCACAGCCTCGGTGTGTTAGGGAATGAAAAAAATAAAGAGGAAATATTTACTCTCTTTGTTATAATCATAGTTTTACACAATATTCATCTTTTAATACTTTAATACTTTCTGAAGTACCACAAAGTGCAGCTGATATTGAAACGGGATATTAAAAAGAAAAAAGAAAAGATTTTCAAAATAAAACAAATGGCAAATCATCAAAATGACAAGCTAACTTCTAGAAAAAAACCCAGAAAAAAAATCCAAACATGCAACAAATATCCCACACAGTAAAGTTGTTAATAAAACTCCTTAAAAAAAAGAAAAGAAAAAGAGGATATATTGAATCTGATTTCCCTTTAAAGAAGAGACCAGCCACAGTGCAACATTGAGTGGAATTAAAAAAAAAAGTTTTAAAAAAAGTGTGTGGTTCAAAACTAAAGATGAAGGGGTTGGCACTTTTTTTTATGGTAATTCCTTTTGTAAGATACAGTCAGGGTGGACCTCTCCAGGCGGTCCACTGGACGCCAGTAAAAGAGGAACTTTATCACAGTACTTGGCACCAAGAATGCTGGTAAAAACGAGATATCAGAATATCTTTTTTTTTTCATTCATATCCTTACAATTTATTAATAATACATCATTTACACTTGTGTTTTTGTATAAAAGACTCCAAAAGGAAAAAGAGAGTCTAGAAGTGATTGCAAGAAAGAGGAAAGGAATGCAGATGGATTATGTCGATGGTTTTAATAAAAAGAGCTACAAGGGCAGATGCAGAGCGAGAACGAGAGAAGCGGTTAAATGAGACAAAAGAGATTGTGGGTATGAAGATAAATAATGTAATGGATGTGATTAGAGTGTGTGTGGCTGAAATGCAGCGACTTCTAATGGGCAGCCTGGATTCCAGGTTGCATCCCACAAAGTGAGTGGGATTCAGTAATTTCCTGTACCGCCCCACAGTTGAGGCCTCAATCTGGAAATGTTTTGAAAGCAGCAGTGGTGAGTATGCACTTTTGTTTTTGGTTGGTTTTTTTTTTTTAAAGCGTGGGCAACTTAATGTCCATGGGATGCTTTATGTTATTCAGCTAGCATCACAACCAAAAAAAAAAGGAAAAAACTCAAACAAACAAACCAGTAAATATATGTCTAATTAATAAAATCGCATTTTAAAATTAAAAAGTCATGATTCGCTATCCAGTGGATTCCACCCCTTTTCCTTCTAGGCCCGTCAAATACATTTCACGCTAAACAATAATCCCCAAAAATCACAATGGAGGGACAGCTGTTGGGACAGAGTGCTAAACACAGGGTGCCAAATTTCACTTCCAGATTGGGCCTTTAAAGCTGCAATTTGTAAGTTTCAGGGAATCAACGCTTCATGACAGGCAGCTTGTCGGGACATATGTTGCCTCAAACAAAGCTGCTCGCTACTGTTTTATCTTTTTTGCTAAATGAGTGAAAATGAATATTTGCATTCGGCGTTAAACATAGTTTTTACACTGACACAACAACACATGCGCAAAACAACCGAGCTACCACAATACATGTCTGACTGATTGTTGATGAGCCTGAGAACCCCTGCAAGAGCTACAAGCTTAAAGCTGCGTGTTTGGTGGCTCTCCAAAGCACCAGATGTTGAAAGCGCGTTGACGGGGAAAAGCGGTATGCATCTAGTATGACGGTGTTTTGGCAAAGGACCTTTCTTAATCAAGTCTCCCCCCCACCTTGAGTTACGGTTACAGTTTAGAGGTATTTCACTGCTTCGTATCTTACAAACTGCAGCTTTAGTTGAGGGCTTAATGAGAAAAGAGAAAAGTAGAGTAAAGAAGAAGAGAAGGTGGAGTTTGGATGGAGCAGTTTGTGTGGTGCATCTCTGTAAGCCCAGAGTGGGGTAGCAGAGCTTGTGCCTGGTCCTATACACGGGTGGTGGAGTGTTGGTGTGGCAGAGCATTGTTGCTGTGGCTGGGGACGGGTGTAGTAGACGGGGCTGGGACAGGGGGATAAGTGTTGAAGGGGTGAAGGGGCTGCATGCTGCTAATGGTGCTGGGGATCATGGTAATGGTGTTAGCTGTCATCAGTGGCACATCTTCGGGCGCTCGCCGCAGGGCCAGCGTGTAGTCAGGTGGGCACACGGGAGGCCGCAGCGGTTCCAGGTCGCCGTGGACACCGCGGGACGGTAAGGGGGTCCCATGCTCTAGCTCCACCCTCTGCTGTTTCATCTGCAGTGACATTAGCTCCTCCTCCTGACTCAGCGCTAGGTCGTTGTGCGGTGGGGCCCCTACGACTCCCATGCCAACACCCATGCCCATTGTCGTGCCGCGTTGCGGGGAGAGTCGGCGGTGGCGTCTCTGCATGAGTTCATGGCGCTTGTCCCGCTTATAGTAAAGTGCGGCAAAGGCCAGCACGTTCAAGAAAAGAAGCGAAGCGCCGACAGCTACCGTTACGCTCAGCTCGGTGGAGTAGTCCCTCGTCTCGCTGGGGAAGGGAGGATAGCGGGGCCTCTCTGAACTGTCAGGGTCAGGATCCGGCGGGTAGGTAGAGACCACAGGGTGCCGTGTTGAGCGAGTGCCAGGATGAGGGGCCTTCCAGCGGCTGGTGCCTCCAGGTGGCAGACGGGTGGTGATGGAGTTAATGATTTCCTCGTGAAGGCTGTGGAGGTGCGGTACCAGCTCCAGCCAAAAAGCCACCTTGTTAGCGCGGTAGTTATCTCTGACACGGGGCTTCAGGCCAATATGCAAGTACTGCTTGTCCTTGGAGCTGAACTTGGTCCAGATGACCTCCTCAAATCGGTTAGGCTTAGTGTGGATGAACGTGGTGTCCTGAGGAACTGGTAGGTTAGGGTCTCTGTAAGACACAAGACACAATTATTAGGCTATAAACCTAACCTTATATTTGCTTTGATAAAGTCAGTCAACCAAAACAAAGGAACTGATATGACATTTGAGGGTAAAAGAGCAAAGAATAGCAAATTACTAGGCGCTCTATAACCTTCAAGTGCTTTACTGCAGGTGGTTTATGCTTGTTGTTGTCATCCTTGTGCTTTTGTGTTGTCATGTACCTCCTAAAGTTTATAACCTGCCATTTTAGCTGGGATGGAGGCACAAGTCAGCAAGGAACTTGGCCTCTACAGGCATCTCTCTGAATCAGTGCAGGAGCTTAGGGATTCCAAAATAGGCACACAGGCAGAAAAAGTTGGATAACATGATGTTCTGTAGAAAACTTGTTTTGACATCTTCCTTTTGGAGAGGTGAAGTCGTGATTGTAGATGGTATTCTTTTGGGGCATTAATGCATAATGTTTTTGGGGGGGGGGGTGGTGGTGCCTGTGGTAACAGCAGCAGACTGGCATTTATATGGTGATCTAGTGATCGCTCTGAGCACTTTATGGTGCTGTTTTGTATATACTTCAAGCATTCTATCTACCTCACATTCATGGCCAGTTTAGAATCACCACAAAACCTATCATGCATGTCTTTGGAGAGTGGGAGGAAGCTGTAGCACATACAGGACCAAGAGACTACATACTAGAACCTTTTTTGCTGTGAGCCAACAATGCTAACCACTGGGCTGCCACAGTTTGCAAGAGCAGTGAACAAAGCATTGATTACCAGACCCCAAAAACTACCCTCAGCACATCACAACCCTGGTATTATGACTTCCATGATTTTTGAAAACATTCCTTTGAGATTTTAGTCCTTGCTCACATTCTGACTGCATAATCAATTTCTTGCAGTGAAGTCCCCTAAACTCACTGCCATGTTTATAACAATGAGTCTGATTTGCCTTAGCTAACATTTGCATGTGAAACAGTCTTACCATAATGCTGGAAATAGCAATTAAAAGATGGTAAACTGTGGGTACATGGGCTCTCTATTGATTTTTTATTGTGACAGTAACTCCTTGTCCTTCTTGTTATGTGACAACGGTACTAACCAGTGCCCTCCCCACATACAGCAAAATATGATGCTTTTAACCAATTAAGAGCATTTGCAGCATTTCAGAGCTCAGCAACGCAATGTGGGGCCAAGTGTTTTCCCCTCCAGTGGGTGTGATTATGACATAGTGTTTCACATGGTCTGCAACAATACTCAGGCAGGATGTGGCATTCAAACCATAATTAATTCATAATTAATTCTTATGGTGTGCCAAAAAACATTCCCTGCACCACTGAACCACCAGCAGGCTGGACTGTTGACACAAGGCAGGGTCTATGGTGTCCTATGCTGTCCTCAAGTGTCCTCAACTTCTGACCCTATCATTTAGAGAAAGCAACGATCAGTTTCCAATTTTCGGGTTTTGATGATCTTGTGCCCTCTGTTGCTTTAGATTTCTGTTCATAGCTCACAGAAATGGAAACCCAGTCTCTTCCACTGTGGGGGATTCCTCTGTGTCACTATAGGTTTTGTGACAACACCAATTCTCCTCCAAACTCTTTTAAGGTGAATTTCTGTGAGTTTCTAGAGATGGCTGTGTGTGAAAATTCCAGGACGGCAGTTTTAGAAATGTCATGTTCTATGTTAGTGTTTACTGAAACTCTTGTATGCTGTGTGTCTTTCAGAATCTCAACACAGAGGACTGATCCATAAAGCTTTATACACAAAAATGTTTCATCTGTAAAATCCCCAGAAATATCACTGGGCTTGTCTTTTAAAAGTCTGACTGAGTTAGTCATTGTGTTATATGTGACAAATATAATCAATACTTTATACACAATTCATAATTCACTTGAAATTAAGTGTTATACTGACCCTGACTTGGCAAAGTTGGTCCAATATGTCATCACAACAGCACTGAGCATTACGTCATTCTTGGAGAAGTTACAAGGAAACAAGTCAGTGGCCCCCACCATGGGAATCCCAAACACATAGGGGATCTCATCTCCATGGGCAGCATCTGCCCAGTCTGGCCTCGCCTCGGTCTGACAGTGGTGGTGGAAAGTATAGAAGTAGACAGGTGACTGGAACTCAGCGTGGAGTTTGGCAGTGGCGACAGCTGGGGCCACCCACTGGTGGTCTGTGAACAGAGCCAGGAGGGTCTTCCTGCGCATGTCGCTGTTGTCTCTGTCAGCCCAGTCTGTGTACATGAACTTTATGGTTTCCCTGAGGATATCTTTACCTTGGAAAAAACAGAAGTTAATGTGAGCATTTATGCCATGATAGAGTCCATGTTTGTCTGCGACATTATGTGGAAGCATGTAAGGCTGAAATCTTTTAGATTTTTTGGTCAAAACATGTTTTTTGCCACAGGAAGATTCCGAAACATAATTTACTGTGAATACTGTTGACCAGCCTGGCTTACGAAGGACTGTAGTCGCTATTCACAAGCAAATCGATGTCATTTTTATAAATGCTTAGTGCTGTTGACAACATTTAGAAAGAAACACATCGTAATAGTCTAGAAAAATAGGGTTAGGATCTGACCATCGGGGTATCCATACAGATTGTCCACAAAGTTGGAGATAGTATAGTCAAATGAGGCAGCTGATATTCCATCTTCTCCTTCACTGTCATCCACAAACTTCAGGCCCTCTCCCTGGTTGACACCCAGCAGTATGTCGTAGTTGAGGAACTCGCCCTGGTGTCACAACAAACACACACAAAGCATGACATACAAAACAGAATGGAGCAGTAATGCTTGTCAGGAATGTATTCATATAGTATAGGTTAAATAATTATTTCATCCTCTGCTGAATTTGTAGGTTTGAATTTCTGATTTTATGTGATTTTCATTATAATGGAGAAAAATGAAATTGAAAAATCAAAGTCAAACTGTGGGAGCCAGAATTCTGTCTGGCGCAGCGGATCAAATACTTTTTGATATTCTGTCTCTCACAGTATCACACAGTGTACGGTAATTGAAGAATTCAAAGCCGACCTGCTGCATGAGGATCTCAGGGTCATCAGGTACCACGTCCCCATCTACCACAGGACCAAAGGCGATGTGGTATCGGGCAGGCTGGATGTCTTGGTCCACCAGCTCCCTGAAACTCTTCCTACGCAGACAGTCCACCAACTCTGCATTGTCCCCTGTGGTGCAGCCAACCTTCTTGGCCAGGATCTTGGTATAAATCTGCGGTCGGTAGTTCACCGACCAACTGGAGATGGCTGAGCCACTCTGAGCAATGGCCCTCTGGAACAGCCCTATACAAAAACACAGTCATATACACCAGATGTATTAAAACATACAAACACTTATTCTCCATCAGCTTAGCTGCCCCCCCCCAACACACTCTTGCTAGCAGCTGATGGTGTCTTCAAGGCCTTACAGTGAGAGCACGTTAAATAATGCATATGTTAGAGGAGGAGCAATTGTAGAGTATTACAGGGGCAAGATGAAGTAGATATCCTGCTGCACTTCTTAGCTGGAGAAAATCTTTATGAAGACCAGAGTAAAAAACATGAAGTGTTTCATTTACATGCAAAGAGAGACAGCAGCAAGAAAAATGGCGGCAAATCTGCGCACGGCTTGTTGGATAAAGCGAAAAGGACAGAAAGAGAAAGAAAACTGCTCGCACTGTTGCACCGCTGCACTGTTATGTAAAGTGGCTTGCTGTCCCTCTGTTTTATCTGCAGATTCTGTCATTAATAATTAAGCCCCCCCATATTCTGCGTGTGCCCCGCCCCCGCTCCTCTCCCTGTGAAATCAATTAAGAAGCCTCTCAGCTGCAACTCCAGCGCCTCATCTCATCTCTCGTCGGCATACGCACACACACACACATGCAGACACGCACACACTGTACCTTTAAAAACTGTTCAGCCTCCAACTTTTTCTTGACTTTGCGTTGCTTCAGCCTGCTTTCAAAATGGAGTTGGGCTAATCTATGCAAAACAACCAGTTGTGTTTTTCTGATATTGCACCCACTATTAAACCTGCCATGACACTGACCTACAGTCACGTTCTACAGAAGAAATTCTAAGCAATGCAAAAAGCACATAAAGGAAAGTGTGATCAGTGTTGATGTAATATATGTGTTTTCAGTGGAAAAAGTATATAAAGTCTGTGAGCCTCAGTGTTCAACCTGGAAACCTGGACTATCAAAGTATCCATGCAATATGAGCTGGTATGATAGGAACCTTAAAAACTTAGCAAATGACCTCCTGACTTTTTTCCTGACTCAATCCCTTGCATCAACCGAGAATCTGCTTCCTACAGTACATGCAGTATTTTTATTTGTTTAATCCGTCCAAGATTAGTCTCTCTGCGTGAAGGTTAACAGTTTAGTAATATCATAATCTGAATTCTTGGTAAGTAATGAAACGCTATTTGACTTCTCAGCTCCACAGACCAAAATCATAGAGAGTATTAATGACAGAACATCTGGCGAGAATTTAGAGATCCGCCATTCAAGAACTAAACGGTCCTTTTCTACTAATGAGGTGCAGATGCTAGTGCCTAATCCAGAACCTGTTATGTGGATGGTTACAGGTCCCACAGAATGATGAATCTTGTGTTGGGGGGCTTGTCAAAAGTGATAGAATCAGATTTTGATCCACCATCCTTCAGAAAGTGTGTACTGCATGGTACTGGCTTTAATTTTCAATATGAAAATGATCCCAAACAGCTAACCCTGGATAGAAAAACACCACGTGGAACACTATCAGTCATGGATTGGCCTCCCCAGATCCTGGACCTCAACATTATTAAAGCAGTGTTGGACGATCTTGACAGAGAATGGAGGGGGGGGGGAGGCAGCCAAGAGCCAAAGAAGAGCTTTATATGTCCTTCAAGAAGCCTGGAGAACTATTTCTGAAGATGAATTAAAGAAATTACAGCAACATATAAAATAAAATGCTGGCTGTCTTAAGCCTTATATAACATTAAAAGCACATTAAATAATAAAGTACACATTTATTACACAAAGCTTGCACACAGGTGCATCTTAGGCCATGCTTATGACCATGCTTCCTAGCAACCACCTATCAATGGGCTATGTTTGGGCTAGTTTATGCACCTATTACACATAGTAAAAGTTTAGATTCACAACACTATATGTAACTCTGTAACATTTAAAAGCCCAATTTGACAGAAAAGTGATGAGAAGACGCACTCATTCATCTCAGTGCTTTTTCAGTGACTGTAGTTTCATGTGGAATGATGTTATTTGGAATTATTAAAGGGTTTTTGTCCCAAGGGGAGTAATGGTTTTTAGAGCAAAAACCTACTGTCTAAAACCATTTGTCAACTCCAGAACTCACAACCTTGTTTTCTTTCAAATTACTTGATCTTTGGAGTTTTGTCCTGCTTATTGAAATAATACCATAGTGCCCCAAACTGTAAGTGACTCATCTCTGAATCCCTTTCTTCGTGGGAATAATACTGCAGTGCATTTTTATCTGCTTTAGGCTTTTCACTGAAAAGCACCAACATGCTCTGTAAAGAAATACATTACCCACACACTGTCCTGAAATATTAATCCCCTTTGAGTGGAGTATGTGACTACTAATCGGTCAAGGACAGGAAAAGAACCTTACCCTCGGAGTGGTGGGAGAGGATGAGAAGGTTCACACAGGCGGCACCAGCTCCAGAGCCAAAGATTGTGATTCTCTCTGGGTCTCCTCCAAAGTGGCCGATGTTTTCATTGAGCCAACGCAAGGCTTGGATCTGGTCCAACAAGCCATAGTTCCCCTTAGCAGACTGATCCCCGGTGCACAGAAACCCTGCAGGGCAAATTAGAACAAATACAGACAGGAAAAGAATGAAAAAACATAGATTTTCCCAAATGAAGGATCAGGGCCCGATTTAAAGAGACGGGATATGTGTATATCTCTTTCCGTGTCCCACACAAACAGAAGATGGCATCCTGTCATTGTCAGGAACTTCTAAGCCTCCAACTCACTTCAAGTCTGTGGAGATTTCACACAGAAAGCTTGCCAAATTACTCATTTTTAATACCCACGCTGAAAATACAACACAGTTAAGAGAACTTGTCAACAGAGAGAGGAGGAGAGCAACAGAAGGCATGTTTCACCTACTTCCAGGACACACATTTACACAGTTGGTGCACACCCACAACAAGATAAAATAAACTGAACAAAATGCCACACACAAACACACACACACGCATACACACACACACGCATACACACACACACACACATACACACACACAC